GCCTCGCCGCCGCCGTGCGCCAGGATGGCCTCCTTGTCCTTGCGACGGGCCAGCTCGCGCCGCTCGCGGAGGCCCACGAACCAGCCCACGCTGAAGCCGGACACCACGGCGCCCACCACGAAGGCCGCCACCGACGAGGTCACCAGCAGGTTCACCGACACCAGCCCGGCGCGCTCCTCGGAGAGGCTGGCCCGCAGCAGCCCTGGCCGGAGGGACGGGTCAGGAGCCGCGGCACCGGCCTGGCCCCCGCCTCGGCGATCTCACTATCCTTTCTCTTTACAGCCTGTGGGTCCGTCTGTCTCTTGACGTCTCTCTTCCTCTGGGGTCTGTGTGGCCTCTCAAAGGCTGCCTGTCTGTCTTTCACCTGAAATCTGTCTGTCCTCTCAGAGTTTGTCTCTCAGCATCTCTCTGTCCCCTGGGGTCTGTCTGTCCATCTGTCTGGCTTTCTGTCCTGAGGTGTGTCTGTCCGTGTCTGTCACTGGCATCTGGCCATTTCCTTCACAGTCTGTGTTTGTCTGAGTCTCTCCATCCTCTGGGGTCTGTCTGTCCTCTCAAAGCCTGTCTGTCCATCTGCTTACCTTGGGGTGTCTTTCAGTCCCTTTCAAAGCTTGTGTGCCTGTCTGTCCCTTTCAGAGACTGTCTTTCTGTCTGTTGGCATCTGTGAACCCTAGGGTTTGTTCTCCTACCAACCAGAAGTAGGACCACCCCAGCCCAAGCCAGAGCCTGATGGAGGCTGGTCCCCCCAAGGGTCCCCAGCCTCCTCCATGGGAGGGGGGTGTTTCAGCCCAGCATCGCTTCACCCCACTTACCTGTACAGTCCCCTAAGCCTGAGGTGCTGGCCCCAGAGACATCCTGCTCAAAGGTGGCTCTAATGGAGGGAAGGGGCACAGTTAGCAGAGACCCCCTTTACAGGGTAAGGCTCAGGGGGCTGTCAGACACTCCCCTCCGCTCCCCCAGTACCTGGTGCCCGGACTGAGGAAGATACAGGAGCCATCAGGGGCCCACCCGCAGTAGGGGTCCTGGCTGCCGATACAGTTCCTACAGCAAGAGGGGCCAGGAAGGGTGAGGGACGGAGATCCGTACACAGCACCCAGGTGTGCGGGGCCCTGTGCCAAGCACCTTCCTCTCAATGCCGACGCCTTGAGTCTCCCAGCTGGGGGCCCCTCAGGCCCATTTCACAGGTAAGAACACTGAGGTTTGGGAGGGTAACTTTGCTCGTGTGGTGAAGGTGGGACTGGGCAGGAGGAAAGGGCTCCACCTTTTACCCTGAGGGAGGTGAGAACCTGCAGGGCCGGGGCAGAGGAGGGATGGGCCTTGACTCAGGGGCTCATGGTCGCCCTCTGGAGGCTGCCGGGGGAATGGACTTCAGGGTCGCAGCAGCACAAACTGCCTCTAGTCTGTGCCCTTGACACTGATGCGGCTGTGGGTCATTACTGCAGTGATGGCAGGCAGGGAGGTGAGACAAGGGGTCCACCCGTGTCGAGGGCTCACGCTGAACCCAAGCATGTACCAGGGATGTTCCGGGCATCTGCCCTCCCCTCCCATTTGGAGACAGGAAACAGCTTCTACTGGGTCCTCAGCGTGTGCTGCTGCTTCCCAAAGTCCATTCTCCATGTGGCAGCCAGAGGGCGCTCGTGAGCACCTGAATCAGGGCCCTCTGCTCTGCCAGCTCATGCCTAAGGCACCTGACTGCTAACCAGAAGGCTGGCGGTTCAAACCCATCAGCCACTCCTCAGAAGGAAGGTTGGGTAATCTACTTCTGTAGTGATACTGCCTTGGAAACCCAAGGAGGGGTCACTATGAGTCGGGTCTGACTTGAAGGCACATAACAATAACAACAACAAGCTCAGCCCTCCAGACCTGCAGAACCTTCCTTGGGTTAAATGCCTGAGTCCTTTCCCTGAAGCAGCCAGAGGGCGCCTGTGAGCACCTGAGTCAGGGCCCCTCCCTCCTCTGCTCTGGGTCAAAGCCTGAGTCTTCCCACAGGGCCTTGCAGGACCAGCGTCATCCCATCCTGCCCTCCCTCCCCTTCCCGGCCCTCCCTCACTGCACTCCAGCCACACAGGCCCCCTCGCTGTGTCTCTAACTCTCTGGGCCCAGTCCTGCCTCAGGGCCTCTGCATGGACTGTGCCTTCTGCCCCGCTGACACAGAAAGTGCTGGGGTCCTTGACTTGAACCCAACTCTCCAGCCCTGGAGCCCAAGCTCCCACCTCCCCACCTGCAGCTGGAGTTGGGGGGCACTCACTTCATGCACCCTGAGTGCTGCTGGCAGCGGGCCACAGGCACGCGGACCACGCAGCGGGGAAAGGCCGCAAGCAGGCCACCCGAGGCCGTGTCCAGCTCCAGGCTCAGCAGACGCCGCCCTGTCTTGCCACTGCTGGACTGTCCACACCTGGGGACAGCAGGGCAGTGAGTCTCGGGGGGCCTTCCCCATCGTCTCACCCACTGTCCCACTGCCCAGCTGCAGCCTGGTCCCACCTGTCTGGCCGGTAGGTCTCAAACTCCTCCAGGAAGACACTAGGCCCAGTGGTCTCTGGGGCACTGGAGTTGGGCCGGACAAGGAACTTGAGGACCGTGCCCGCCTCGGATCCCAGGAAGACAACAGTTTGGTTGCCCCAGGGGCCGGCACCCACGTCCACGGCCACTCGCGTCAGCTGGTGCCTGGGGGCCAGGGTAAAGCTAGGTCAGGCTGTCCCCACAACCTCTTGCAGTCCCCCGGCCACCCCACAGCAGTACTACCCATACCTAGCCACGTGGGCGGGAGCACAGACATGGTTACACAGGTGCATACAGACAGGAACACACCGACACATGTAACAGCAACAAACACCCATGTGGGTGGACACATGTCACATGGGAGACACATGCCAGGACATGCCAAGCCTTGCCTGTGCGAACACCACAGAGAGAAACGGAGCCACGAAGGCGTCTCTGCACGTCGGTGTCTCTGTTCTCTCTCTCTGTCTCTCATGGCCTCTCTCCCTTTGTCTCTCAGTCTCTGTGTGTGCTGGGTCTCTGTCTCTCTCCCTGTCTCTCTCTCTTTCTCTGTTTCCTGGTCTTCATTCTTTTCTGTCTGTCTGTCTCTAGTCTCTGTTTGCTGCCAGTCTCCTGCTGTGTGTGTGTGTGTGTGTGTGTGCGCACGACGTCTCCCTCTCTGTTTTTTTCTCGTCTCTCCACATCTCGTTTCTCCCTCTCTTGGTTTGTTCTCGCTCCTGGGGTGGATGTCTCTCTCTCTCCTCTTTTGTTTTCTCTCTCTGAGCTTTGTCTCTCTCTGTCTCTCCCCTTTTTGTTCTCTAGATCTCTCCTGTGTCTCTCCATCTCCTCCCCTGTACCCCCTCCTTTCTGGGCACACATACGTGTGTCTCTCCATCCCTCTCTTTGCTGCTTCCCAAAGTCCATTCTCCACGTGGCCACCAGAGGGCGCCTGTGACCACCTGAATAAGGGCCTTCTGTGCGCTCGTGCACTCTCCCCGTGTCTCTCTGTCTTCATTTCTCGGGACAGCCCCCAGAAGTCCCCATGCCTGGCTGAGTTGCGTGTCTGACTCCAGCCGGGTGTCCCTGGGCCGGGTGGGGCAGGCTGGCCACTCCCATCTCCCACTTCCCTCTATCTGCCCTGTCCCCCCACCACCGGCCTGCCCCACAAGGACCCTGGCCAAGTGTAGGACTGACCGCATCAGTGTCCGCACGATCCAGGGGGCGTGGCCCAGAGAGGGCACAGCCTCGTCCATTAGGGGGTGGGTCTTGACGAAGTTGAGGATCTCGTCAGGAAAGGCGCTGGAGGTGTTGTACTGCATGCCAGGAGCCGCACAGCACCCGGGCCTGGGGGTCGAAGGGTGGTCAGGATGGACTTGGGGGTCCCCACAGAGCAGCCCCACCCAGCTCTGCCCTGCCTAAGGGCCTCGGTTTTCCCCATCTGTGTAATGGGTGTGCCTGGACTCGGAAACAGCTGAACATCTCTAAGTCCCGGCCCTGGGTCCTGGGGACCAGGACGCCCTCCAGCCCCAGGCACCTGTCACGGGACAGAGGGGGCTCTCACCGGGGCCGTGGCACCTGATCTTCTGGCACCGCTGTCCAAATGGACTCAGGGGACTTCTGCTCACGGAAGCGGCCCTCGAACACAGCGGCCACCTGCGTCATGTCAAAAGCGCAGACGGCCGAGCCGGGGATGCTGGGGGGTCAGGTGAAGGGTGCAGTGAGCCGGGGGTCCGTGTGGAAGAGCCCCTGTCCTGGGCCCTTCAGAATGTTCTCCCTCCCTGTCCCTCATCCACCAAATCCAGTCCCTCTGCCCTGAGCAGCTTCCTAAATGGATCCTTAATTCAGCTCCTCCCTGGCCACCCCCTGGTCCAGGCCCCCACTGACCAGGCTCCTGGCTGGCACTCTTGCCCATTTCAACCCTCTCCCCAGGGGCACTTTCTAAAAACACACCTCTAACCATGTCCCTCTTCTGCTCCTTACTCTTCCATGGCTCCCTAGTACTCTCAGCACAAACTACAGGTGCCTCCGGCAGCCTACACGGCCCTGTAGGATCTGACCCATTGCCTCCCTGCCCTCATCTCCTCCACTCTCGCTGTTCCTTCCACCTCAGCCACACCAGCTTTCTGTTATTACTTAAAGACACCAATCTTATTCCAACCTCGGAGCCTTTGCTCATACTGTTCCTTCACCTCAGAATGCTCTTCCCTCTCTTCCATCTCACACCCATCAAAGCCTAATTCTAATGCCCCCTCCAGGAAGCACTCCATGCCCTCCTCCCCCAAAAGTGGAGCCCTCATTCCCTATCTGCCCCATTCTGACCAGAGGGCCTTGGAGGATCAGGGTATGGAATGGCTTTGTCCCACCCCAGCCTAGAGAGCTGAGGAATTTCAGGGTCTCATCTTGCCCAGCCTAAGACCCAAGGAATATGTGATGACAGAAGTAGGACCTAGCATCAGAGGGAGAAGGAGAGTCAGGAGAAGGAGGAGGAGGAGGATATGGAACGTGTGACTAATCGCCTACATGAGCAACTGCCTCCTTTGCCATGAGACCAGAAGAACTGGATGGTGCCTGGCTGCCCTTATTGAACGTTTGATCAAAGAGGCTATAGAAGAATCCTAATCAAAAGGGGGGAAATTAAGAACAGAATTGCAAATTCTCATGGAATCCTGACTTTATGGATCTGTGGAAGCTGGATGAACCCCCAAAACTACTACCCTGAGATAATCTTTAAACCTTAAACCCAAAATATCCCCTGAAGTCTTCTGGTGGGGTTGAACCAGTGACTTTCTGGTTAGCAGCTAAATGCCTCATCCACGACACCACGAGAGCACCTTGAACCAAACAGTAATTTAACTAATGAAGACTGTCTGCCTTGAGCAGTGTGTTCTTGTAAGATGATCCTATACAGGATCAAAGTGACGACAGCAACTGGAAAGTTTACATAGGAGGCTTGGGGGTAGTGAGTTCATGTTTAAGGGAAAGAACAAGTTGGCAAAGGAGGGTGAGGAGGGTGACATTTGAAGAATGTCACCCAGGTCACTGAATTGTTCAGGAAGAAGCTGCTGAATTGGCATGTGTTTGGCTGTGTATAGTCTCAAAAAAAAAAAAAAAGAAAGATCTTTATGTCCACAAGCATCCAAGGCCCCCGCTCTGCTCCCACTGACCTATTGCTGGGGGTAGAAAAGACAGCGAGGACCACGGGCCGGCCCCCCAGGCTGACCACGCCTGTGACGGCCTGGAGCACGTTGAAGTAGAAATGGGAGTCCCCGGGCACCGAGCAGTTGAGGCGCGCCTTCAGGAAGGACGTCCACTGCTTCTCCAGCACACGCGGGGAGCCCCCCACGTCATTCTTGCACACCCGGGCCACGCGGGACACCACCACCTGGTGTGAGAACGGACATCTGGGGCCCCGAGTCCTGCAGGGCACGCTGCCCACCAACCAGTCTGACCCTGGCTCACTGTAGCACTCCAGCCATCCTGTACCTCTCTGGACACCAGCTTCCTTGCGGTTAGCAGTCAAGTGCCTTAGGCACTGCGCCACCAGACCTCCTAATGGCAACAAAGGCCATCATAATCACCCCTGCTGGAGATCACAGACTATGTGCTGGTGCCTCACCCTCCTCCCTCCCATTCCTCCCAAAGTGCTAGGAGGGGAGGCAAGCTGGCATCCCCACTGTACAGATGGGAAAGTGAGGCACAGAGAAAGGGAAGTGACTGGCCCAAGGTCACACTGCAAATGTCAGTGTCTGGCTGCTTGGGTGGATGGATGGTTAGGTACCTGGATGGATGAGTAGATGGATGGGGGGATGGATAGGCGAATAGTGGATGGATGGGTGGAACGATGGGTGGATGGGGAGAGGGAGGGAGGGAGGCAGAGATGAGTGGACAACCAGACAAATGATGGTTACATAGAGGAATGAGGAGATGGGTGGTTAGATGAATGAATGAATTGGGAGGAGATAATGATGAATCATTGGAAGGAAGGTTGGGCAATCTACTTCCATAGTGATACCACCTCAGAAACCCAAGGAGGGTCGCTGTGAGTCAGGTCCAACTTGACAGCACATAACAACAATGACAATGGATCAGTAGGTGGGTGGGCAGATGGATGGAGGGGTGGGTAGATGGGTGCATGAGTGGATACACGGGCCAATGAATGGATGGATACATGGATAGGTGGGGCGAGTGTATGGATGAGGGGATAAGTGGATGGATGGATGAACACATGGGTCCTGCGTAAATGAATGAATGAATTGGGGGAGATAATGATAGATCAATGAATGAGTGGATAGGTGGATAGATGGATGGATCCATGGGTGAATGGATGAATGAGCAGATAGAAAGCTAAATGGAATGAATGCACAAGATACAAGGAGGGAATGGGTGGCTAGATATACAGGTACAGAGAAGGGTGGAGAGGTGGATGGTGGATGGATGAGTTGATAGGATGGATGAATGAAGAACAGGTGGATGGATGGATGAGTGCATGGATGGCTGGATGGAGGGATGGATGGCTGGATGAAAGGATGGATGGTTGGGTTGGTGGGTGGGTGGATGGATGAGTAGGAGATGGGAAAATGGGTGCATGGAATGGTAGGTGAGTAGGTGGATGTATGGATGAGTTGCTGGGTGGGCAGATGTATAAATGGAAGTGGAGTGGACTGATGGACAGACAAATGGCTGAATGGGTAGACGGATGAAGAACAGATGAAACACGGATGACGGTAGAAGGGTGGGCGGACAGGTGAATAACGACAGCCCCAGGCCTGGAAACCAAGGGCATATCTGACTTTAAACTCATGTCCGTTGCCCAGGGCTGTGTACCCCAAGGCTGCTCCCTAAATGTCTTCCAGCCTCAGGGCCGGCCCTCTCCAGAGGGGTGGGTCCTGAGGACGAGAGGTGAAGGGCAGCACCCTTTTACCCCTGGTGGAGCTTCATGGAGCCCCTCTTCTCCCCACACCCACCCACTCCCCGCAGTCAGAGCCTCTCAGCCTCCCACTGCATGGGCCTCCCAGGTTGGGGGAGGTCGGGAAGGGGCCTTACCTTCTCCAGGTAGTTAAACTCCATCGCAATCTCCCGGAAGAAGAAGTAGACATGGCTGCCCCACTCCACCGCATGGATGAAGTAGGGCTCTGTAAGAGAGGAGGGGTCAGAACCCAGGCCCCGACATGATGGGTGGACTCCTGGGCTGAGACCCCATCAGTCTGGGTGGCTACTTTTATGGTGAAGAGGGGACCTGGGCTGATTATCCAGGCAAAACAAAATGGACTCAAAGTTTGCTTTTTTAAGGAGGTGGATCTGAAATGTCCCATCACCATGTCTACTCCAGCAAAGAGCAACATCTGTAATTTTCTTCACCTTCCTCCCGCATGTGTTAAAGATCTGTGCTCCTTACACTCCTCTTGGAGTTGCATTTTGAGGTTCTAAGCCACCCACTTCCAGCAAGTACTACCTCTAGCTTCATCATCAAACAGGCTACCAGGCTCCAAAGATGAGATGGGGAGCCCCCTCCCTAGCTCTTCTGGGACTCTTATTCTGGTGGGAGGATTTGACGAATGTCAGCCCCACCAGGTCAGCCCTCGTTGGCCCTGCAGACCCACCTTTGAACCACTTGGAGTCGTGTTTCACAGTTCGCAGGGTGGGCCGGTCCCCAAGGCTGCGGTAGATGACAGCATCGATGGCGAGGAAGTCAGTAACGGTGGCTGTGAAGAGCATCCCATCTGGAAGGGGGGGTGAGGAGGGGAGACAGGAGGTCATATCCAAGAGGCCAGGGCCTGGCCGGCTCAAGACGGAGCTTCCCAGGCTGAGCCCTGACCCCTGGCTGAACCCGACTTCCACCTAAGCCCTAACCCCAGTCTGAATACCCATCTCTGGGCTGAGCCAGGCCCCACCTGAGCCCTGCCCACATCCAAGCCACAAACCCAGGCTGAGTCCCTGACCCCAGCTGAGCCTTAAACCTGGCTGAACTCCCTCCCCCACCCCTCACCTGACTGAACCTTGACCCAGGCTAAGAGTCTGTCCATTTCACACGCGGACACTCACGCTGTAATTGCACACTCTGAGAGTGGAAACTGCCAGGCCCTGATTGGGCCTGGGTCCCCACCAGATGGTAAATGAGGGTTGGGGGACACTCACCAGAGAAGAGGGCAACATTGGCATGTTTGGGGTCGTACGGGCAGCGGGCCATGCCACTGATGTTGTCCCCGAGGGGCTGTAGTGTGTCCATCTGCAGGAGGGACCAGGGCCTGAGTGACAACGCTCTTGGCCACGGCTGGCAGCCCTGACTCCCTAACTTGCAGCTCCAGGGGAAGTCCTGGCCACCAGTCACTGTGTCAACGTGGTTGCAACCTCTCTGGCCTCAGTTTACTGCTCTGTGAAATGGGCCTGAGGGTCGACGCTATAACTGGGTGCCATCAAGTTAATTCTGACTCATAGTTGGCCCCATATGACAGAGTGGAACTGCCTCACAGGGTTCCCAGGCTATGCCAGAAGGGCAAACATATCTGTCTTGGAGGAAGTACAGCCAGAATGCCTCTCAGAAGCAAGAATGGCCAGACTTTGTCTCTCGTACTTTGGTCATGTTGTCAGGAGGGACCAGTCCCTGGACAAGGATGTCATGCTTGGTAAAGTAGAGGTCAGCGAAACAGAGGAAGGCTCTCAAAGAGATGGACTCACATGGTCAGAACTGATCCCACAGCACCTAACAACAAGCTTTAAGGAAGCAGACTGCCCCATTTTCTCTCATACAAAGCCATGGTGGGTTCCATTAGCAGCCGAGCCCTTAATTATTGCACCACCAGGGCTCCTTAGAGCCCTTGCTACCCATAGCATTATGGTGAGGTCTGAGTTAATCCTATAATTGACCCCTGCCCCATTGCCCCTCTATCGTCTGGCTGAGGGGTCTCTCACTGCTCCAAACTCACTGCTGTTGAGTGGGATCCAACTCACAGCGACCCCTCCCTTGGGTTTCCGAGGCGATATCACTCGGAAGTAGATTGCCCAACCTTCCTTCCCAGGAGTGGCTGGTGGGTTTGAACCACCAGCCTTCTGATTAGCAGTACAAGTGGGAAAGGCAAATCCAAGTAGGCTTCTTGTAGGAGGTGCTATGTCTTGGGGGTGGACCTGGGGCAGGCTGAGCATTTGAAGGGCGCAGACTCACGCTGTAATTGGCGCACACGGGGTTGAAGGCGTTGGAGCCGCACATGAAAAGCGTGGACTCGTCGCGAAGTAGCAGCACCTTTACGAAGTTTCGACACTCGCCCTGCGGTGGGAGGGGAGAGGGCCCAGTGTGGGCATGGCCTGGTATTGGCCTTGGCTAGAACTGTGATAAAGCGTGGCTAGGGCAGAAGGCTGCGCCAAAGCAGATCCAGGCATTGAGGGGACTGGCCAGGGATGTGGGCCTGGCCAGAGCAGTGGGCCGTGGCTGGGCGTGGCTAGGGTGGAGGGAGGAGCCAGGGCAAATCTGGAACCTTGATCTGGTGGGGCAGGAATATGGGCGTGGCCATCTCCCAGGCTGAAAGTAAGACTTCGCTGGAGGCGGAGGCTTTGTCGGTCATTCAGGGCTGAGCCAAGATTGGAAGTTGTATTAGCTGAGGAGCTATAGGCAAGGCCAGGACTATGGGCGTGGCCACAAGGGAGGATCACTTTGGGGGCATAACCAGGCTCTAGGCACAGACATGGCGACGCAGGCTCCTGGCCAGGGCTGTTTAGAGAGTGGGGTGGCAGGAGTCCTGGGCGTGACAGGCCCACTCACCTCCTGCTTGCCCTTCATTCGGCACACGTTGATGTCACTGGGGTTGGAGCGCCAGGTCAGCTTCTGGGGACAGAGGGGCTGTTGAGGGGAGCGGGGTCCCTGATCGCTCTAGGACCCCGAGGGGCAGGGCTGCAGTCAGACTCCACCCACCCCCGCCTGCGCCCCCTCCTCACCCGCTGGTACCGCAGCTCCATGGACGTGGGGGGCTCCAGTTCCACCCGGTAGAGGTTGTCCCTGGGGGAGAGACATAGTTAGTGAGATTGGGGGGCCTCCGCCACCCTTCATGTTCCATCCTCCTCGAGGCAGACGTGGAGCCCAACACGTAACACGTTGGCACACGCTAACGCCTCTGCCCAGGAGCAACTCCAACACTGAACATGCTCTGACATGCTCCCCCATGGCCTGACATGCCCCTCTCACCCTAAAATGCCCTACTATGCTTCCCCACGTCACATTGCATCCCAGATCTGCCTCTACTTCTCCCCTCCTTTGTCTCTACGTGCTCAAGCCGCATCATCACCCACCTAAACCAGTGCTGGTCCCTCACTCCCGCCCTCGCTTCACAGTTTGTTCTCCCCATAGACGCCAGAGGGCGCTAGTGAGCACCGAATCCAGGCCGTTCCTCATCTGCTCACAGCCCTCTAGGGCTCCCACCTCCCTCAGGCAAAAAGCCCAAGTAGTTCCACTGCCTACAAGGCCATGCACGACCAACCGAGCCAGTCCCCTTCCTGCCCTCCCCTCCTCTTCTCTTCTGCTCCCTCACTCCACTCTAGCCACATGGGTTTCCTCGTTGTTCCTTCAACTCTCCAGGCCAAGTCCTGCCCCAGGACCTTTGTACAGGCTGTTGGCTCTGCTAGTAATGTCCTCCCCAAAGATCTGCCCATGGCTAGCTAGCTCAGCATTCAAGTCTTAATTCAAATGTCACTGCTCCAGAGAAGCCCTCCTTGACTACTCCCATGGCATCTTTCACAGGTTTGTAATTATACATTCACGTTTGTAGTTAAAGTCACTCAGAATTTTGACCTATGGGCTGTCCACACCCACCCACACACCCTAGATGTTCCGAGCTCTGACCACACCCAGCTTTGATCATCCTTAAAAGCACGCCCCCCCCAGGGACACACATGTGCACAGCAGCCGAACAACATGCCCTGCTATGCAGCCCCCCATTACCAGCGAGACTGGGGGGCCTCGGCCACCCTTCCAGTTCCATCCTCCATGACTCACACTCTGCCTGACAGTCCCCATACCTGTCCCCAATGAACAGCGTCCTGTTGACGCGCAGGACGCGTTGGATGTTGAGGTCTTCCGTGCCTTCTGCGGGGCTCAGGCGACCAGGCCCGCGGCCCACAAACACGGGGTAGTGGTTCAGATCTGGAGGAGGAGGTGGGAAGGGGTGTGAGCCGGGGCCGGGCGAGGAGGGGGTGGTGTGTGTCCCCACGAAGAGGGTCCCAGGTCATACCTTTTCTGAGGGTTCCTCAGGGAAGTAGCAAGCCCACACTGGGGACCAAGACCCTCCCTCGGGACTCCCCCTCCTCTATTTCTCCACTCACAGTCTCGGGGAGCCACGCTGAGTGGCGGCGGCTCCTCCGGGAAAAGGCTGTAGGAGCCCCCAAGTAGCAGCAGCAGGAGCAGCAGGGCCAGGCGAGAAGGGGGCGCTCGCGGGGTCCGCATGGCGAGGGCAGGGCAGCGAGAGGTGACACCTGAGGGCGGGTGGACAGGAGGTGAGCAGCTCTCCCTGCAGTCCCGCTTGTCGTCGGCAGAGGGCGCGCGACCCGCGGCGGCCGGAGCCAGACCCTCCACCTGGTTTTCAACTGCCAGAAAAATTTCCCATTGGGGCAGCAATTAAAAAACAACAATAAGAACAACAAAGGGAATAATAATAATTATACTACCCAGCAATTATTTAATTATCAGAAAAACTTTGAGTAGGTAATAGTTTCAAGCAAAAATGCATTTGGTTAGTAATTACAAATTATCAATAATAATCATGATAATGATGGACACAAAATCTCCAAATATGTGTTTTAAAATTCTTAGGATTAAAAGAAAAAAAATCTTAAGATCAAAAGCACACACAAAAAATCAAAGGGTCTTGAAATTTTATAAACCACAGTCCGGGAATTGCCTACGTGTTAAGTCTGACTTTCTTCCCAAATCCAGCCTTTCTGTCCTCTTCTTGCAAACCTCTGTGACAGACCCCTTACTACTCTTGAGGTGGTCTGCTTCCTGTTTCCCCTCAAGGTCACTTTGGAGACCCTTCCAGGGATATGGGGGGGCATGTGAGCAGAACTCACCCCCTTGGGCCCAGCCCTCCATGCCCAAAGCCCAGAGCTCAGAGCACCCCCTACCAGAAAGGGGTGTAGTCCTGGTCCCGGAGACCCTGAATATGAAACCCCGCAGCATCTGGGCAGCCGGGGGTCAAATCTTGTGCCTCAGTTTCCCATCTGAGCAGCAGGAACATCTCCAAGTACTGGCCTGGCCTTGGGGCCCAGCATTCCAAGCCCTTGGGGGTGAAGGTATTATGGGAACACTGGCCCTGGAGTGTCCGCCTCCAAGCGTTTTGGGCCAGAAAACAGGAAAGCTTTGTGTGTGTGGACCACTGGGGCTTCCGCTCCGTGACCCATGTTTCCAGGATTTGTGATTCAGCGGATGCCCAGGTTCCACATGTGTGTGAGGCACAGCACTACCCCTTGAGTTTCCTTCCCCGGTTCCTGCCCTGCTGCACAGCCTCCTACGGTTCCCAGTGGCCCCTGAGTCCAGGCCCCAGCCTCCGCCTGGCATTCAAGGCCCCAACTGGATTGCCGACTGCAAGGCTGCCTCCTCCACCCTCCACCAGCCTCTCAGCCCTGTGCCTTTTAACCTGTATTTTATCAGAATAATAATGAGCTGAAAGCAGTTGAAAACAGCAGCTTCCATTGGGCTTCGTGACTGGGGATGGGGTCCCAGAGCCACTTTGGAATTCTAGCTCTGCCACTGACATGCTGTGTGACCTTAGACAGGTCGTCTCCTCTAAGCCTCAGTTTCCTCATCCATAAAATGGGCTTGGTAACTGCGCTGATCTCCCTGGCCTCTGACGGGGTCAGCACAGCTCCTGGCACATAGTAGGTGCTCAGTAAGTGTTTGCGATCATTAGTGCTGCTGTTATTGGGGTATTAAGTACCAGGCGTCGTGCTGGTGGCGTCTATTACTTCACAGAACTCCCCCAATGGCTCTAGCAGGGCTCTTGGATATTAAAGCCATTTTGCAGGTGGGGAAACTGAGGGTCAGATTCAGGGACGTGTCCCCACCAGCAAGGAACTGGCAGCTAACGGAAACCAAAGTAGAGCATCCCGAGGTAACCAGGTCACCGGGCCCCCAGCCCATTCCCTCAACGCCCCCAGCTGCCAGCAGTGACTAGTTTATTCTCCTGATTTTCTTAACTTCGTGATGCCGCAGATCAGATCAGGGCTGGTGAGGGGATCCATTTCCTCCCTCTGACCATAGCCGCCCCAGCCCCACAGGTCCACCCTGGAGCTCAAACTGGGTTCTTGTCTCACCTCAAACCTGCTTCTCTTGTAAGATCCACTCGGAGACGGCCCCAGCGTTCCTGAGCTGTGGACCAACCTCATCTCTTGCCTCCTCTGCCCCATCCACAGCCCGTGAATCCGGCTCTCCCCTCAGAGTCTCTCTCCATCCATCGCCTCTGCTCCCAGCACCTGCAGGTGCCGCCTGCCTTGTACCTGCCCCCAGCCTCCGCCCCTGGCCCCCAGCACATCCTCCTCACTGCAGCAAGGGAATCTTTCTAAACTCGCCTCCTCACTTGTCCTCCTCATGCTCTGAACCAGCATCCCTCCCCAGCCTTGGCACTGCTGACATGGGAGCCGGATCCTTCTCGGGGGGGGGGGGGGGGCGCTGTCCTACATACTGTAGGGTGTTGAGCAGCATCCGTGGCCACCCTCTTAATACCAGTAACTCTCATACCCAGTTATGACAACCACACATGTCTCCAGGCATTGTCCTGAGTCCTTTGGGGCAAATCATGGCCAAGTGACAACCACTTCTCTACCCCCTTCTTTGGTTCCCCAGTGCCCTCAAAATGAAGTCTCAGCTCCTCCTCTCCCTCCTGTCTTCACCTCTGGGCATCTGCACATGCTGTTCCCTCTGCGCATGCTGTTCCCTCTGCACATGTTGTTCCCTCTATAAAGGCTGTTCCTTCTACACATGCTGTTCCCTCTCCACATGCTGTTCCCTCTGCACATGC